CTTTGACCACTGTGCGACTAGTGCTCTCTTGGCAGAAGATTGACATTGGAAATTCGGCAGACACACAAATGGCTGAAACACCTTTAACAGCATCTCACTAAAAACCAAGGATACGTATTTTCATTTGTCAGACTGGAAGAAAGTGATTCTTCCAACCTAACAAGTGAAAGTGAACAGTTTAAGTCTAACCATAAGGCTGGTTAAGACCTGAAGTGTGAGGAGGTGGGCGGGAAATGCACATTTTTATGCACGGCTAGAGGAAGTATAAATTGATATAATCTTCCTGGAAGGCAACTACGTATCTATGTTTTTATTTCCTCTATGTTGTTAGGTTCTGCTCAGAAATGACTCACAGCTGATTTTCAGAGGTTGTAAAACACCGGGGGGTGGGGGTGGGGGGAGACTGCCCATCCTCCCCCTGAGGAGTAACAGGTGGATTTGAACTTTGGGTTCGCAAAGCATCCCTTGAGCACTAGTCCACCAGAGCCCCCTATGTATCTGTGAGAATTTATAAGTGTGGCTTTGAGTCAGATTAAACCCATTACCACTAGCAGAACTCCACCCTTGAGTTCATGCAAAACTGCATGGAGTTCAGAGTGCTGCTTGGACTCGCCACAGGGAGGCCGAGGCAAACCAACATCCACACATTGCAACCATTAGAGAGGAGTTCATCACAGCATTAACTCACCCATGAAGCTAACAAAAGGAATGACACTGATTCTACAGTTTTACACCAAGAGGATCATACTATGTTGTAAAGAGAAAAAAAGGGGAACTTGTCCCATGAACCTCACATAATAGAAAGCAAAACTAAGTCTGTATGCGAAGATTACAGCCTGGAAGGATGCACATGCACACCACTGTCAGACTAGCTTATTTATCTATGGGCTCTGTTTTCTTTATAGTTTTCTGCATAGTTTACATTTCTTAGAACACTTCTTTATATATATATCTTTTAAAAGGAATAATGAAAAAAAAAAAGGTAATAATGGACGCTCTGTCATCTGCTGGGATGCAAGGACTCGTAGGGGCTCCCAGTAGTCAAATTTGGAGCTCTTTGAGAAGCACCCCCAAAATATTCAATAATGAATTACAAACCACTGCAAAATGGAATTCACCAGTCTATAATGAATTTAAGAAGATAAACAAAAGTAAGTAAGGGAGAAGGGGAGAATGTCTGAATAGTAGATGAGGAAGTGTTGGACTGGGTAAACACTGTTGTAATTACCTCACTAAAAATTCAATCAAGCCAGAATCAGCGGTCTGTGCTAAATCTGGCAGGTGGAGAGGGGTGAGAGGAGAGGAAGTGGTAGGATATTTATGGTCCCCAAGTATTCCTCCAGAGACTTCATATTAACTGGAAGGGACAAAGTAGTAACTGTGCACGAAAGTGGAAACCACCTTAGAAGTGTGCCAGTGATTCACGGCCTCCCGGCGGCCAGCTCCTGGTCACACTGATGTGAGGACTGTGTTTCTCTGCCTGCAGATGAGCAGGCAGCTCGAGTGGGCTGCTGCATGGAGGATGAAAGACTTTTCGTTTTCCCGAGTGTGGCACGGTCCCCGCAGCACGTACCCCAGCGGCTCTCTCTGCTCTCCTGGAACCTTCCACGAGCTGATTCTTTTCCACAGGCAGGATGCACATTCCCATGTGGCCACATCCTCTCCGTGGCCTTGGGGGGAGGCCCTTCCTCAGAGGTTTTAAGCTCCCTCTTGCTCATTCTTCCTTGGGCCTTAGGGCTGGAAGCTGTTTTCTGCAGCGGCAACCTCTGATACCTTATTCATTCACCAGCATCAATTCTGACTCTTGGTGACCCTCTGCTGTATCTCTGTGGCTGTCAAATCTTTACTGAGAGAGAATGCCCATCTTTTTACAGAGGAGCAGCTATGGAACCTGAACTACCAACGTTGTGTTTAGCAGCCCAAAACATCACCAGGGTTCCTTCTGTGACATCTAACAGCTGAATTAACCACCCTTTACCTAGTTAACAATTCTATTACAATTTCCCTGTTCAAATGTTACCACCAGATTCTAAGTGGTCAAGTTTAACATCACCAGTTGGGCAGATGCTGAGCCAAAGAGGACACGGGTAGAGAGCTTCAGCCATGGGGAATGCAAACCAACCCTCAAGTCTAAGCAAAGCAAAAATATTCTCATTCTCATTGCTGTCAAGCTGAAATCAACTCTTAACTGACCCTCCAGCAGGTTTTCACATGGGAAGAGACTGCCCGTCTTTCTCCCGAGGAGCAGCTGGTGGATTTGATCCACCTGCCATTGGGCTGGCAGTGCAACTACATATGACTAAGCCACCAGAGGCAAAATACTGGATAAACCCATAGTGAGCAACAATTATTTAAATAAAGGAACTGCAATCGTTGGGTAGCACAGATTATTAGCCAAAAGGTTGGAGGTCTAAACCCAGTCAGAGGTGACTCGGGAGAAAAGGTGGGCAGCTTACTTAAAAAAAAAAAAAAAAAAAAAAGAGCCACACTCCAAACCCAGCCATTGGAAAGCATGGAGAGTACACACGTCCAATCACACACACACAGGATTGGCTGAGTCATAATCAAATCAACGGCATCTGGTTTCATTCTTCAAACCGTCAATGTCAGAAGTGGCCCAAGTACAGAAGAGCTCTAGATGAAATACGACAACTTAACGCTGGAACGGAGACTGGACTGGATCCAGAACTACAGGGGGGAACTGTTATGAGGTTATTTAGAATATATATGGTAGACTTGATAAAAGCACTAGTGCTGGATTTACAGATTTTGACAATTTTCCTCTGGCTAGGTCCAAGGCCATCTTTATCTCAGGCCTAGCCACAGACCCAAGAATGCATGCAGAGAGAAAAACAAGAGTACACACAAGAACGCAAATGATTAATCAGATGTGGCAAAATATTAATAGGTGAATCCGAACAAAGGCTACCCAGACCTTATAAGTTCAATGTTCATTCTTGCAGCTTCTCTGAGGGAACTCTGGTGGCCTAGTGGTAAAGAGCTGTGTTGACAATCCATGTGGTTCAAATCTACCAGCTACTCTGTGGGAGGATGGGCACTCTCCTGTTGTGCTATTTGCTGCCCCTGAAAACCTGCTGGAGGGTCAGCTACAGGTTGGTTCTGACTTGATGGTACACAACAGGAAGAAGGAAGACAACTGGCACTAGGATATGGCCATGGTTCTTAGCCTTGGCTGCACACCAGCACCCAGACTATGTTGCTATCTCCAGGGTCCCTGGAAGCTGTGGTTTTCAAAGTTCCCCAAGTGAATCCAATGTATAGACAAGACTGAGTAAGACTGGGGGAGGATAGATATGAGGATGGCTCTTTTGGCAAATAAAGAAGAGGGTCCCAGGGTAATGAGAACTCTTGGTCTCAGCTACCTGTGGAGCGGCAGAGACTCCAGGGATGCTAAATAGGTAGAAGGTGAGTGGACTTGGTCAATATAGATGCCTCCTCCAAGGATCCCTAGATGAGGGAAATGTGCATTTCCAAGACAACCGTCCTAGGAGCCAAACACATGTAGCTAATCTGGTCCTGGTGTCATTATCCATTTTAGCTTCAATGTTATCACAGCAGATATGGGTCAGTGGACAGAACACAGGACAAGCGGATGAAAATGTAGAGGAGGAGTGTGTAGAACTCGTTTCCTGGAGAAGTACATGGAGTGGGCTGCCAACTGGTGTATTTTCCTAAAGCACTTTTCCAATTCCAGAAGCTCAATTCTGTAGTGCACAAAGAGCTGGGGTGGCAACACTGTCATTCACCTCACTTCCAATCTGGGCTGGGGGAGTCAGGAAAGGGGGAGGCACAGGATGAGGGATGGGGCCGACGGTCAGAGTGAAAAGTCAGCAGGACAAGAAAACCACTCTTGCCACGTGAGAGACAGGTAGGGGGACAAAGGATGGGATAGGTAAATGGCAACAGCAGTGCCCTGCAGCTCTCTGAACTCAAGAGCATTTTGGTAACTCCTATTTTCTGAGCAGCAGTTCACTTATCTCCCTGCCTTTTCCACGTCTTCTCCATTTTTAGGGAGGTCACACTTGCAGGACAGTCAACTGGGTGTCTCCAAATCAGCAAAGTGGTTTGTGAACTCCTGCCCTAGATCTGATCCACCCTTGCTTCCTACTTTTCCTTCTAACCACTTCATTTTCCCCAGATAACCAAGCCAGAAACCTAGAATTGATCTAAGATTGCTTTATTCTTCTCCCTGTCATGTATCCAGTTCAACAATCAGATGCTGTCTTTTTTTTCTCTCACCTAAGTTACTGACTCCACCTCCTTCACCACCTCCACACCAGCTGTGCCTCACTTCATGCCCTTGAATTCTCTCTTGAGTCTAACTTAGCCATACCCCCTCTGATCATTCTCTGTGGTGTTGCCACAGTGGCCTGTCTACAACAGGCCTTATCACCACCACCTTCAAACCCTTTAAGCACTGTCCCTGGCTTTAAGAAAACCCCAAGTTCCTCAGGAGGTCATTCAGGTTCCTGAGAGGACAGCCTAGGTTTTGTTACTTTTCCAAATTCTTTTCCCATCCTAGTATTTTAAGCTCCAGGCACAACGAGCTATTTATTGCTTCCTACACACCTAATCCCATTTCATACTCCTATGTAACCTCTTCCACAAGTCTATTCAGCCTCCAGGTGCAGGCATGTCTCCCAGGAAGCTGTGATTAAGCACAACTGGTAACAGTATCTGTTGTTTTATCTCTATAAATCACTGTATTGTACTATATGAAATGGCCTGATTTTTAAAAAAATCTTTCTATACCTTCAAAAAACACACTGAAAGAACAACGTAGTGCCACCACCGTATCCTCAAAAGCCTTGTAGACAGCAGGTGCAAACACTGTAGGATATAATGACCAAAGAGCATTGATGGTTCCCTGAACACCAGGGCCTTTAGAACATGGCAACAGAGAGAATTAAAACCTATGCAAATCATGACAAATTTAAGTGATCACCAACATTTAAAACTGCTATTACACTGCTATTCTTGAATTCAAGTATCCCCAAAAGAATGAAAAACTACAAATCAAGGAGTGATAGAGAGTTTATTGAATTAGATTTTTCTATTTACAACTGAGATCACATCTACATACTATTTTGCTAGTCTATGTGGGTACATTATTTCCAAATGAGTTTAAGAGTTTAAGACTTATGATGAATGGGCTCAATCATAAACACACACACATATACACACTCACACTAATTGTTTTAAAACAGTAGTGCATACATTATGCTCCTCCTATAAAGTCAGCTTTGATTAAAAACCACTAGCTTCAAAGAGCAGTCTCTGATTTTGAAGATGAACCAAGATATATACCATATGATTCTAAAATCTATTTCAGCTTTTTTTTGTACAATTGCTATCTTATTGGACTACAGTATATATTTTTTTAAAAGGACACTGATGGGGGGACACCATCTGGTATTAACTATAACCAGACAGATGGCTTCTTCCCTGTCCCTCCCCAAACCTTTGGCCAAGAATTCTACATTGTGAAGACTGAAAAAATCTGGTGATACTCCAGAATTCATTAATGCTTGGAGGTAACAAAAGCAGGCCCGCACCCTCCTTTCATTCTACCACACTACACAACTCGCAAATGGTTCTGAAATTAGAACATTTACCACCATATTTTAAAACTTCAGGACATGGAGAATCAGCTAGGGCAGGAGAACACAAAGTCCTAAGTGGGTGGGTAGGTAGGCGGGTAAATGAGGAGCCAAGTCACTCTGTCCAACACCAGTGTACGTGTGCTTTAACGAAAACAACTCAGGAGGCCAACAGGAGCAGACCTGCTCAATTCACCTTCCAAATCAGAACAAGACTAAAAAGCTCAGGTTTGAATTTGGGAGTCTGCTACTACGCATATGTTCCACCTGTGATGAGGAGCTCGTAGGCAGGATCTCTACTCCTTCTGCACAACACGATGCATGCACACAGCATGCCCAGCAGCTGTGGGGAGAAAACAATGGGGGAAAAGGTGAAAACGCTCTTATACCAACGTGTGTCCTTCTATGAAAGCAAAAGAGTAGTTTTAAAGTTCACTGACCTCACATCATCATAAAAGCAGTAACAACCCAACAAAGGGAATTTTTATAAAAAAGTTATTTTTAGGGACTATCTAAAAAACCAAGTTTCCACTCCCTGATTTGCACCTGAAGTATCCACATATGGCTGCTGACCACCTGAAATGCAACCAGGGAAGTTAAGGAGCCATATTTTTATTTTCATTAACACAATGCTGCAAATGACGGTAATACAATTAAAAAAAAAAAAGAAAAAGAAAAAAGTGTTTCTAAGCACGGTCGTCAATTTAAAAGTGTGTAGCAAACGTGTTAAATGAAATTTAGACCAATGTCGCTTCAAGTTACCACTCAGGACAGAGAAGGACTAGGGAATGGAATGATGAACACTCCGTGTGTTAAGGAATATTAACAGCTACTCACTAGGGGGAAGTCTTTTCAGGTATCTGGAATCTTCAGGAGATGCAAGAAGTATGTAAGTAACAATTCTATGGGGCAAAATCAATCCTTGTGCCAAATATGTGTGAGTGCAAGTTTCTGTTTCTTCACAATTATTTACTAATTTTGAAATCTCAGTTTGGTACTGTGGTATTACATGCATATTACTTTTTAAAGGTCATTCCTCCTTTACTATTTTATTTTAATAAGTCATAATCCTCCTGTGGCAGCGTACTAGAATAGTAATAAAGTTAACCACCATGTTATTTTTTATAAGCAAAAGGATTAAGATGGATTAAAGGGAAAATGGTTCTAGAATTTCTGATTTGGCTTCTCACAAAATATAAACAGTAACCAAAGAACTCAATAAAAGCAAGTTAATCTGTTCTCACTTTTTACTGAAGGTGAAAGGCCTCGTTTATTAGATTTTTAAAAGCCAAAGCCCTCTGTTCAACAGGGGTCAAAGTAATTTCAGCAAAATGTCCTTGGGTCCATGAACAGACAAAGTCTGAAGTGGAAGATAACTACTAATGAGATGCACATACAGAAAATAAAGATGCCCTCAAGCTCAATTCTCTCTGGCATAGAGTGATATGATATGCTCCACTTTCTGTCCTCACATCAGCCTATATCTTACCCAGTCTGGGTTATTTACTTGGTTGATACACAGATTCTTTCATTTCATTTTCTCAACATCTTCGTGCTTATTGGTGGAAAGTAACTTGGAAGTGTTTGAAATATAGATATTGTTTGAAGTTTACTAAATATCTTGCCAATTCTAGACGTTTAGTGTCTTATTCCTAGAGAAATACATTCCTGTTCATTGTACATCAAAACATTCTTAGAACAGCTATAAAATCAAACACAATTAGGTTCTCAGGCAATGTTAAATTGAGCAATAAAAACACTAAGCTGAAAAATCACTGATTCACTGGGAGAAAAAGAATCTCTCCATTCCCACTTCCTCACATTTCTTCAAGTTGGTTACCTTCTGCCGTAGGAGTCAGCATTCTCTAAATGGGCCTGAAATAAAGTGTCATTTATCTCTTGATTTTTTTAAAATTTCAATTAAGTCAACTTATATTGATTAAAAAACAATTACATAAGCTTGATAAAACCCTACTCATGCTTGGGAATGAGTCTATTTAAGAACATTAAGTTCCACACAAAACTCATTACTAAGTATTTCAAGGCAATTTCCAAAGCTTTGCTATAGGGAAATTTCATTGAGTACAGATACTGTCTAACAGCAGACTTCCAAAAAGGATACAAATATTTTGGCTCCAATGTATTTCTTGCAATAATAAAATTTTCTCCTATAATATTCAAGTCATGAGAACTAGTAATATTCACTGAGGTCACAAAAAGCACTTAACCACTATAAAAAATGATTACTAAATAGCGACAAAGGGAGCCCTGGTAGCCTAGTGGTAAGCAGCTGTGCTGCAATTCTGAAGGGCTGCAGTTCAAGGCCACCATCTGCTCAGTGGGGCAAGGATGGGCAATTTTCTCTTGTGTAATTAACTGCTTCTGAAAACCCACTGGAGAGTCAGGTATGAGTTGGTTTTGACTCAATGGTGCACAACAATATTGTGTACACTTGACAGAGTAGATAAATTAATATTCTTACATGAGGTAGTTGGAAATGCATGCTAGAATATCTTTTTCTGTGAAAAGTCTGGAATTATCAAAATTAATTCATACTCTCTGATGCCTCAATTTCACAGCCATATATTTCTGCTATAAATGGACTCTATAAGGGAGAATGACTAGGTGCATTTGTGGAATCCCAAGTGATCATTTGTAAAGACTGTTGTTATGTGCTATTCTATTACTTCTTATAACTGTATGTGAATGTGTGATTATCTAAAAAAAAAGAGCAAGGTAGAAAAACTGCATCCTATAAACTTCTATTTGCATAAAAACTATGCGCTTGGATAAGCACAAACTATTTTGGAAAGGAAACACAGGAAACGTGTAACAGTGGTTGCCTCTGTGGGGAAGGACTAAAGAACTGGGGTAAGACTGAGAGACATGTCACACCTATCATTATGCTATCATCAGAAAAATAAGAGTTAAGTGTTGAAGACAAAAAGAAGTTACAACTCTCATCCACTGTGGTGAGCTTCTATGGAAAACAGAGGTACAATTCCTCCAAAAGTTAAACACTGAATTATCATGTAACCCAGCAATTACTTCTAGGTATATACCTAAAAGATTTGAAAACAAGGACTCTGATACTTGTACACCAGTGTTCAATGCAGCATTATTTACAATCATCTAAAGGCAGAAATAACTCAAGTCCATCAACAGATGGATAAGACGTGGCACATATATTTACTGAAATATTATTTAGAGAAATAGAAAAAGTAGGTCTGAAATTTCCTGTATCGCTGGTCCTTGAAAATGTTATGCATAATTCAATCAGACAAAGGCCAAATACTATATATGATCTAACTTACATGAAGTGTCTAAGATAGGAAACAGAGAAATAAACTAAAGTTTACTAGTGGTGACAAAGAGGAGGAATGTGCTGCCTAAGGAGCACTAGGTTTCTGTTAAGGTGGTGAAAAAAAAATTGAAAATGGATTGTTATACAACTTGAGAAACACAACTGACATTACATGAATTGCACATGTAAAAATGGCAAATGAGTCACTGCTTAATTTACCAAAATAAATGAAAGGAAAGTATTATCAAAGCATATGATGGGGGTGGGGAGGAGACTTCCATTTTACCAAATACCCTCCTGCATCACTGGGAAAAACTATTTCATAAAGGAACAATCTAAAATGGCTTATTTCTTTTCCTCCCAAATAAAAATAGAATTAATAAACACTAAAGCCAATCAAGAAGTAGTTCTCTTATCATTTGACTGACGTTCAAAGGAAGAATTATTTGGGCTTTTGTTGTTTGTTTATTTTTTTTTAAAAAAAAGAGAGCACCAGAATCAAAGCACTGGGGCTTAACACCTACTTGAGGGGCCAATCTGAAGTGCTAGTCATCTAAGTATTTGAACTCATTTTAGTAAATAACTGGTAGCAATAAATAAAACAAGTTTATCTTTTGCATTTAGCATATATAATAGACCAGGGGAAAGCAGTACGGTCGTGGGAAGCACCTCTATGTGAAAGTTTGCTCTTGACCACTCCATCCTTGGGGACATGCCAACTTCATGTGACTCCTAAGACCTACAATTCCTGTTTTTTCCCCCATGCTGCTTTTGCAGAGAACCCTTCTCTCAAGAGATACTTGTGAGTAGCTAAAATAAAACCTAGATTTTTGTCTATTACTATAAAATTCCTAACTGATCATTTCTAAATTAAAGAGACAGACCACTTTCAAAGAAACTGGAACATCTTAATAAGCTAATAAAGTGAAGGCTTTAATACAAATTTTAAAGACTTTACTTTCCTATATCTAAAATCCTGCAATAATCAACTAGAGAAGGATAGACAGCCTTAGTTTTAGAAACACCCAAGGCATGGTTCCTAAGAGCCAGACTTGACTTCAAGATAGCTGGACTTTTGGAGGGAGGTTGATGAGTTCTAGTGATGCTAACCCAAGGAGACCTCTCTGGTGGTTCAAATCCATCAGTGGCTCTGAGGGTAAAAGATGGACAACCGCCTACCATGTGATTTACAGTCTGAGAAATTTATTGGAGAGTCAGCTATGAATCAGTTCTAACTCAACAGCAATGAGAGATACGGCATAACAGTTGTACCTCAAATGACACTTAAAACCATGAGAGACTATGCTTGAAACCATTCTGATACTCACAATACTACCAAAACTGTTTTTCAATCTTTGCCACTGTTTAAACGGCTTCCTATTGGCCTCATGGGTAAGAAGCTGTGCTTCCAACTCAAAGGCACGCACGCCACTGTTCGAATCCTCCAACAGCTCTGTGGGAAAGAGTCCCTATGTGGGATGCAATCTCCTCCCATTTGGTTTTCAGCCTCTGAAAACCCACTGGCGAGTCAGCTTTGGGTCAATTCCAACTCTAACAACAATAATAATTTAATTTTTAAGTTTCTCAGCTTTAAAACCTAAAGGGAAGTGTTCACGATCTCTTGATGCTATCAAATTGTGAATTTTATCCCACTGAACCATCAACCAGAATGTAGGAATTTTATTAACTGTTAGATTTATAATTGGAAGAAGAGTACAGAAAGAGTCAGGGTTGAAGGTCTGAGTTTGCCACTGTTTAGACCTAGTCATCAGTCACATTATCCTTGTTCGTCCCTCCCCCACCGCCACCATTTTTGCGACATTTGAGACAAAGGAGATGGGAAACAAAGAGCCTGGAAGGGTCTCCTGTGGTCTCAAGTTTCCCTCTCAGTACTGGTGCGCAAGTGCAAAAGTTCACTGAGCTGTGAGTCATTTCCTCTTTTCTTCAGGTGTTTCACATCCAAGCTAGCAGGTTTCATCAGATTTTAGAACCAAAGTAAAAAAAAATTCAGAGGTACTTGTATAGAAAACTAACAAAAA